CTGGCCCCCGATAGAGTCTGCAGAAAGGGGTGTTTTGCCCAGAACACAAGGGCTATTGCAATCACATTTTTTCTGGGTACCAACTGCATGCTTTTCTTTGCAGATATAGGGGAAAGTGGCTTCAGCCAGCATTCAGTGGTTCCCAAAATCCTGAAGTCCTTAATGCTGCAAAGACCAGGCAGCAAAAAACGACAGCTGACCTGCAAGCATGAAATGCAAAGCTTGGCTTTGCAGCTGATCCCTCAGCTGTTACTTAAAAGCCATGTTGTTCTGCAAGGCCCAAAACCTCATACTTTCTCCTTACTGGATTAGAAACCGGGGGAAAATCACATTACTTAAGTTCCTAAGTAAAACTGGATATTGCTAGCAATGAGTTCCTAACCCGGCACTGCTATTAACACGTAACAGTGCTCACACCACCGCCTTCTCCTCACATTGGGGTTGTCCTCCACTCCCCATTTGAGCAGCACAGAGAATAGCAATCATCCCGGCATGCCGACAGGGTGGGAAGGCATGGCTCTGTGGGACAGTTACGCGTGGAACATCCTACCCAAGCACCCCACATCGTGAGCCACAGACCGATCGCCCACCATGAAGCATTTCAAAGGCGACACAGAATTAATCTCTGTGACGGGGGATGCTATCTCCTAACAGATAGCATCCAAAGAGCGGCTCTGATGAAATGCATTAGTTGCCCCAAGTACAGCAAAAACAAATGCTGTGATAAATCTTGTAAGCTACCAGAGACCTTTTTTTTTGTTCCCCAGGCTCCTGAGTTTCTATTACTTCACAGAGCAGCAGGGAGGGATGAAGCAGCCTTCCCCTTCATGGGAGGGGAAGGCATAAAGCCCAGCACTTCGGAGACCGTGTGTGAATATCTCCCCTCCAGCAGATCCCAGTGAAGGCAGTCACTACCACCATGCAACATCAGCAGGCAAGGGTCTAAGCCTGCTGGCTGCTGGAGCCTGGGTGGAGGGACCCAGGAAAGGTTACCTGATCTGGTTTCATAGGCTAAAAATGGGCTGCTGCACATCACGGGCAGGATGCAGGGCTAGATGGCGGCTGCTCTAATTTATTCTGCATCGCTAACGACAACTTGGAGGTGAAAAGTCTGAGAAGCCCCATCAGTATCAGTAACTGGATTTCCTCAAAGCCCAGGTATTTGGGAGGACAAGCCTCGAGGGGCGGCTGGGGCAGCATCTCCTCTCAGCCTTTCCCTCTGCTGGCAGGGATGCAGGCTGGGAACAAGGTATGGGACCAGCGAGAGGCAGCACCTCGTGCTCCAGGGGCAAGCAAAGCCACGCCGGACCTGGCAGCTCCTCTGAGCATCCAGGCACCCTGAGGAGCTGCTGGAGCATCGTTCTCATACTGCTGGGACGGAGACACCGCTGCAACCCGCCCCATCGGGAAGAGAGCCAGCGAGGGGTCCTGGGTCTTGCCAGGGCTCCCTCTGCCCTCTCCGGACCAAGCCGTTCAATCCCCCCGTTGCCTCCACCCCCCCGCCCAGTGCAGGTCCCACAGGGCCGATGCACACCACCACACACAGAGCGTTTCATTACAAACCTCAGAGTGACAAGGAGTGTTAAGCAGATATAAAGGACATCAGTCATTTACCCATCTGGTGGAAAGTCTATTTGCTGGCAGAAAATAGAGCGGATTGTTACGGCAAGATCTACCATATGGCACCATTATGTGGAGCTTTGCAAGTGCTTTCTCTGAGCGTGCAAGCAAGATTTCAGCCTTTGAAGAAACGCTGTATTGTTAGCCTGGATACGCAGGAGCCTCTTGAAAGAAGCCGTGGCAGATGGCACAGCTTTGTTCTCTTGGTTCGCAGGCAGCTCGTGCAGCCCCTGATATTCCTCCTTGCTGGGGCTGAGCAGCCCCACAGCACAGCGATCCTCCTGATGTGTCCTACGGGAGGATCGATGGCTCCTGAAACTTCTTAAATCCGACGGATGTTGCCTGGTGGGTACCACACCACTGCACAAGCCCCAGGAAGCAAACACCGCCAACCCAAGCCGGTGGGATGCATCGGTGTCGATACAAGGAGAGCTGCATGAAATTGCAAAGCCTTGTCCCAGCCAAGGGAGCTGCAAATTAGTAAATCTTCCTGAAATACCCAGCTTTTGTCTGTGCCTCCCTGCCAGCACCTGCTCCTCCCTGGGTGGCTGAGCCTGGCCGGAGCCCCGGCAGGACAGTGGACAAAGAAAAGCCTTTCAGATGGGGCTGGTGCCCGCTTGAGCGACATCCCAACAATACCCTGACGAAAACCCATTCAGCCCAGGCAGGGGAAATGGAAAGGAAAAGGAAAAGGTTCCTCTGGGAGGAAGCAGTGATCAGTCATTGACCACAGCAACAACATCTGCATCTGCTCCGAGCCAGGGAAAAGCCCCTGGCTGCTGCATACCGCTGGCTGGGACAGGACGCATCGTCCCTGCAGCCCGGGATGGACACGGCACATTTCTTACAGGCTAATTGCTCCTGCTTGTGCCCAGGCAAAAAAACCATCCCCTGTTTCCCTGTTGTTCCTCCAAACACTTGCATGGCCACAGAATAAAACCCTAACTATTTAACTATTCTATTTGACTATTCTAGTTAAAATCCAAATTGTCCATCTAACATAAAGCGGGCCATAAACCAGACACTGGCAGAGCAGATCGAGCCTTTAGCTGACCTTGGAGTCGCAGCTGCTCCGTGTCCCTCTGCAGCTCAGGCCCTCGTCCTCTGCCGCTGGCACGGGACAATCACCAATTTCTCACGCTATGGATGTTTCCTGACTTAGATGAACAGGCACACTTAAAAACACACAAAGCCCAGGGAATATTTTGCAGGATGGCTTCAAAAAGAAAGAGTTTTTCCCCTTTGATGTATGCAGCAGACTGAGATCTGCGGAGAAGGGACCCTGCTGGATTGCTGGTCTCTGTGGGAGGATTGTCCATCCTGGTGACCAAACCCACTGCTGCAACGTCCCCAAAGATACCGCCTGTCCAAGGCCTGAAATCTTCCACCCCTGCCACTCTGAGTCCCTAATGGGAACAAATGGGGCAGAAAAGTCACTATTAAACTGCAAGAGAAGAGTTGGCCAAGGACCAACCCGAGCTGGCAAAGCCTCCAGATCCCCTCCAGCCCCTTTGACTTCCCTCAACCCAATTGACTGAGACAACTGAGGACTTTGGGGGGAGCCCTGGTCCCACAGAGCGGCCACAAGCCATCCTGCCCCGGATGGTTGAGCATGACAGGTCGGGTGGCATTGGGCTCCCGCAGGCGCAAAAATCAGCCCAGTGCTTCTGAGTGCTTTCTCTGTCTCTCTTCCAAATGTTACACAGTGAGTTTATACAGAAACAGTGGGATACTTTCCAAACCATTTAACTAATGCTGAAATTTAATACCCGACACCAACAGGTTACTGAGAGCAAGAAGGAGCTGTTGTAATGGAGGGGGGAAATTGCAACTTCACTCCCCCTGAATGGGAATCTGCCCTCTGGCACCTGTGGGGCAGAGCTCGGCTTCCCCCTCCCTCCCACCCGGCGCTGGCTCAGGTCGAGATCTGCCTGATGAGTTTTTTGGGGAGCCAGGGGGTTGCAGCTGCTTGCACAGGAACATGGTGGGCACCCGCTGTCCCCCCTCCCTATATGACTTCAGTCCCTGGGGAGCCAGCATGGTTCCTGCTGCCAGCGTGCCCCGTAGCAGCAGCTGCCTCTGAGCCTTATTCTCACCCTTGGCTGGGGAGAAAAAAAAAAATAATCTTGGCAGCATGGAGCAAGGGACAAAGAGCAGAAGGGCCACACCAAGGCATGCCCCAGGCCCGACTGCTCCCTGCGAGCGCTGCTGAACTCCTGCCTCAACACACACACAGTGGTTCCTTGCGGCACAGCCTCTGCACCAAGCATCTGGCTGAATTTGGGGGAGGTGCTTTGAAAGTCCCGAGCTGAGGAAAGCACTGCGGGCATGCAGGTTTGATGGGGCTCCAGTGCATGAGCCTCTGGCAGATGCCTCCTTCAGCCTGGCTGGTGACACCGAGCTGCAGCATAACAAGCCTTTACACTGCATTCAGCCAGGACACAGCGGGAGTTGTCCACGGGAAAGAATTTCCCCAGGAAAATCATATTTGGCCAAGTTATCAGTGCAGAAAAACATGGAACAGAGCTGTTCATTTGCTCCACCTGAACAAACCAAATCTGACTGGCAGCGTTTTGCTTCTTTGCAAAAAGAAGTGCTGCTGCAGGGATGTCTCATCCCCACCGTGCTGCGTTGGGTGTCCCAGTCTGCCTTCTCATCCTGCCCATGGAGAAGGACATCTGGGCAAAACTGGCTCTTGTAATATCTTGTAATACGACCTGGAGGTCTCCTCTGCCAAGCGGTCTGGCTCACCACAACCATGCTGCCTGACATCTAATGGGACATGCTATACCATGAGGCGTGACTGACCAGCATCAGGACTCCCAGCTCCCTCTACGCATCGAAGGACCATAAAGAAACCCCATTTCGCTGCTGAATCAACTCAAAGTGGAGCGCTCTGGGTCCATCCAACAAACCACACCAAAATGTTTTCACTTAGAGGAAATTAAAGCTTTTTTTTGGCTGCCAGATTTTTTTTTGATCTGCGTTTTTCAGAGTTTTGGTACCGAGGGATAAAGAAACAATATCCTGACTCTCCAAATCTCAATTTAGCCCACACCCATGGATTTCTGTGAAGCAGAGTGCCCAGCAAATAAAGTCACTTTGCACCTACAGGGGACAACCTGCTTTACTGGCTTGGACACCCCTGCATCACCCTGGAGGTGCAAAAAGCCAGACCAGCTCCCAAGCCCTGCTCTAAGAAATCAAGGCTTTCTAAAGAGAAAGAGAACCCCCCCCCAAACTGGCAGGACTTCAGGGATGAGCAGAGCTCAAGGTTCAGTGCAGAACTGCTCCCAAGAGCAGCCTCTGATGCTCCCTTCACACCAAAGCTTGCCTGAAAACGGGGGGGTGGGGGGAAGAATAAAAAGCATCCTACTTACCACCAGCTCGGTGAACATGACGTCCAGCTCCTCCACCGGTGGCATGGGCAGCGCGGGCTCCATGGTCTGCAGGGCGAAGCTGCTGTCATTGCGCAGCCGGTATGTGATCTCAGGGTGGTCGCTGCTGCGAAAGCAGCAGAAGATGAAGGAGATCCCCCGACCGCTTCTCTTCCTTGGGGCCATGGCCAAAATCCTCTGCGTCCCTCCCTCCTGGGCACTAGATCCTGAGGGGAAGAGAAGAGAGGAGGCTCGAGCAACCGCCCCGCAGCACTGCACTCCCGTCCCACCGAGGGGAGGAGGAATCAAAGCCACCCACGCGCTCGGCGTGGAGGGGAAGAGCG